TCTTTACTAAAGAACCCTTGAAGAACCATCTTCTTTAAGAGTACTCACTTGAAAAAGACAGTTCTTCAAGGGCTCTTTAGTTTAGAACCATAAGCTCTATATAGCTCAATTTTCGAAAAGGTTCTATATAGAATCATATATAACACATTTCCATTAATCTGAATAACCATTTAAAAATACACAGAACTATTTAAGCATGTAAATGGTTTTAAATAGACCTCATGGTTCTAAATAGAACCAATCTCTTTACCTAAAGAGCCCTTGAAGAATCTTTTTTAAGAAAGTTGGGTTTTCTCTATTCACAAGTTGAGTTAAAGCAGTTAAACAAAATGCACCTTTTTATTATTTCATTATATATATATATATATATATATATATATATATATATACATATATACAAAACAATGATGTTAAGGGTTTTCAGGATGCTACACTGTTAAAAATAAAGGTTCTTACAAGCTTCTTGGCCATACTGGACATACATTTCTAGGGAAAACCAAGACATAATTATCAATATGGATTGATGACCAACATGAGTTGGTTTAGGGTGTGGTGAAGCTAAAGACTGAAGGATCTCCATTCCACTTCCAAGAGTTTTTTCCTCTCTCTTCTTCCTCTTGTCTCTTTATTTCCTTTCACCTTTTCTTTTATTCAAAAGCATTCAGAATAAACAAGAACACACTGGTAAGCAGAGACAAACAAGAAAGGACATTCTGGACACACAACAATATACCTCTCAAAACTGGTAATACAGTGACATTTTGAAATGTTAATGTTTGCACTTCTGTTGGTCCGTTCGTTATGAAACGTTCACGCAATGTAAGGGAAAGCTGGTGTTCTCAAAAGGGGTTAAAAATGACAAAAACAAAGTTATGAGTTTTTTGTATGGCAGCATTCGGCAGGTTTCACTGCTTTGGTTAAAAATAAGCATGTATGTTTAGACAGGTGAGTGACGGACAGATTAGAATGCATGTGCGGATGCTGTCTTTAAACCTTTTTGCCCTCTTGCCCTCTTTTTCTCTCGCTCTCTCTCGTCACACCTGTCAGCCTGCAGCAGTAGAACCGTGCTGTCTGAGCAGTGCCATATCTCAGAATATCACATCAAAGGTCTTGAATGGGGCGCAGTCCTGCTGTTACTTCCTCCAGCTAGAGAGAAACAGTCAGACTGACAGGCTGAGCGAGCACTGAGTGAGGCTTGACACACAGATTCAAGCCAGAAGGGACAAACTGTAACACTCTTTTCTGCCATGTTGCTCGCTGCACTTTAAGGGTTCTTCAGTAAGAGCAGTGGTTAAATATAGAACCGTGACAACTCAACTATTTGGATGTTTAAGTTTGTGGTTCTTTGCATGATTGACTATGTTTTCAAAAGCATTGAGTGGTTTGATGCGGAATTGTTCAGTGTAGGGAAACTTACCAAGACTTCTTCGCAGTGGTGGTGATAGGATCCAGGGGTTGCAATGTCACGGGGGTGATGGAGCCTATCCCAGTGGTCTTTGGGTGAAAGGCTGGAAACACCCTGGACAGGCCGCCAGTCCATTGCAGGGCAGACATACCCATTCACACACTGTGGGAGGAAACCCTCACAGACATGGGGAGAACATGTAAACCCCACACAGAAAGGACCCTGGTTGCCCGGCCAGGGAATCGAACCCAGACCCTTCTTGCTGTGAGGCAAAAAGAGTGTGAGATGGAGATCCCTCTTTTTTACAACACAAATATTGCCATTTTATTTACCATCCAAAACCAACCGTCAACCTACATGTGTCTTCTGAGTTTTTATATGTAATGTTGATGATGGGAAAATAGTGGTCAATCCTGAAAAGTCTTTTTTCTTTGGGGATTATTTTGCTTTACAGCATCTCACACATATCTCTTTGAGATGAAAGGCCTTTTGAAAATACATTTCAGGTCGATACCTTCTCAAAACATGTTTCTGATATCATATTTGCAACCATTTCATGTATTAACTTTCTGTGAAGGAGTTTTCAGAGATATTAAACTCTTCAGATGTCTGGTTTCTATCACTACTGCTATGACTAGGTTTATCTAGAATGGAGCATTTCACATCACACCACTCCAAATGACTTTGTTTACATCTTAATCAAGTAGATGTCAATTTTGAAAAATGATCCTTTCAACAGCCAATAGGTCCCGGTTTCCATTCCTCCCTTCTAAACTCAGGTTGCATTGTTTGCCATGTAATTACTGATTAATAAGCCTAAGGCTACAATACGCCTGGAATTAAAGAGGTTACAAGGTTCTACTACATGATGGAGAACCTGTCATATATGTTTTTAAAGAACATTTTGAAGTAAATCTATTTAGCACTGAAATTGTAAGTCATAGACTTCAATTTCATACCGAATAGAACCTTATGCTAAACATTTATGCTAAGGTTTCCAAATGGTTCTCCATGGACTTAAGGTTCTTCACACTCATGTCTCATTTATAGAAAAGGCTTTTTAACCCCTTAAAGGCCAAAGTTTTATTACACACTTCTATAACCTAAGAATAACTCAACCAGTTTGCATTGTAGTCCATGTAATAACTATGTAATAAGGGTTAAAAGCACTGTCCATTGAAAGGTTCTTTGAGGAACAAACTGTGGTTCTTTTCAGGCATCTCACCAGTTAACTGATTTGGCACCTTCATTTTTAAGAGTGTACAGAGGAGGTCAGCTGGAAGTCCAGACTCCAGCACAGTTTTGGTGATTTTCCTGGTAAAACAACCTCCTAAACCTGGTAATTATGTTCTGAGTTGAACCAGGTGTCTTAGAGCAGAAAATCACCCAACTGTGCTGGAGTTCGGCCCTCAAGGACCAGAATTGATGAGCTCTAGAGTAGAGGATGCTACAGCTCAGCTGGAATGCTGCTGTATTCATGAGTGCAAGTTCAGTGCCAAGGACAGCAACTGTGAACTGAATTTAGTGGTGCAGACTTTTTCTGAGCAGCGCCTCTACATTCAGAACTACACCACGGACAGGGGCAGTCGGAGGGCTTTTCAGGACCATGGACAAGGACTGCACTGCAATGACTGCATTCAAGCTGATCATCCATAACATTATGACCACCTCCTTGTTTCTACACTCATTGTCCATTTTATCAGCTCCACTGACCATATAGGTGCATTTTGTAGTTCTACAGTTACAGACTGTAGTCCATCTGTTTCTCTGCATACCTACTTACCCTGTTCTTAAATGGTCAGGACCGCCATAGTACCACCACAGAGCAGGTATTATTTTGTTGGATCATTCTAGGCACTGCAGTAACACTGACGTGGTGGTGGTGGTGTGTTAGTGTGTGTTGTGCTGGTGCAAGTGGATCAGACACAGCAGTGCTCCTGGAGTTTTTAAACAACTTTTGGTAACACTTTATTTGGAGTGTTCCTTTGTAGAAGATTAATAAAGACTTAATCAGTAACACATCAGCAATATTAGTGAAGTAGCAGTAAAGAATATATTGAATACATTACAATACTATATCTGAATACATTGAAGTAAATATCTTGTAGTTGTTCTGTTGATACATTACTTACATTAAGTAGATGTTAATGTTACTTCCATTACGCAAAACCTAACCTTACCAACCTTAACCCAAAACCTAACCCTAACCCTGGACCTAATCCTAACCCTAACCTTAACCTCAACCCAAAACCTAGTCCTAACCCTCACCCTGGCTCTAATCCTAACCCTAACCTTAACCTCAACCCAAAACCTAATCCTAACCCTCACCCTGGCTCTAATCCTAACCCTAACCTTAACCTCAACCCAAAACCTAGTCCTAACCCTCACCCTGGCTCTAATCCTAACCCTAACCTTAACCTCAACCCAAAACCTAGTCCTAACCCTCATATGTTTTTGACATGTTACTGAGAGTCTGTTGAGTGTTTGTTTCATCCTAAAAGGACCACTCAAAATAAATGGTCACCCAACTGATTTACACAGAGCTGAAACTGAGTCTGGTGGATCTTTAAAGGTTTATACTTCTTTCAGTGATACTTTGGCAAGACTTTGAGTAAATTGAGCCAAACAAAGCCCACCAAACTGAAGTGAGCTGAACTGAGAGAGAGAGAGAGAGAGAGAGAGAGAGAGAGAGAGAGAGAGAGAGAGAGAGAGAGAGAGAGGACACATGTAAACAAGACAGAGTGAATGATCCTGGGCTTTTTTAAGCCTTGAAGTATCAAGTGTTCTACTCCCACGGGCAAAAACTGCTCATTTTCATGTATCTAGGCGGCACTCAGAGCATAAATAAACATCATTATCAGCGCAGAAACTCTGCTGCTTCCTGATCTGTTCAAGACTGTAAAGTTTGACTAACACTTACAAAAGGAGGCTACAATTTAGTCATTAACATTCTGTGACTAACACTGTCTTTTACTTCATACCTTTACGCTGGTAACAGCATCTGTACTGCTTTGTGATTGGTCACATCTCTCACTCTCAAGGTTTATCATTATCGTTTGAGACCAAAAAGAGAACAGCAGAGCAAACCTCATTTCCTGTGCTGATAGATGCTGGATGGACCAAGCAGATCAACTGCAGCTCCTTCTGTACTTTTGAACTACTCCAATAGTTTGTGGGAAGCTAGTTTTACTTCTACCCTCACAGAGCAGGTACTATTTGGGTGGTGGATCATTCTCAGCACTGCAGTAACACCGATATGGTGGTGGTGTGTTAGAGTATGTTGTGCTGGTACGAGTGGATCAGACACAGCAGTGCTGCTGGAGTTTTTAAACACTGTGTCCACTCACTGTCCACTCTATTAGACACTTCCACCTTGTCAGTCCACCTTGTAGATGTAAAGTCAGAGACGATAGCTCATCTGCTGCTGCACAGTTTGTGTTGGTCATCCTCTAGCCCTTCATCAGTGGTCACAGGACGCTGCCCACAGGACGCTGTTGGCTGGATGTTTTTGGTTGGTGGACTATTCTCAGTCCAGCAGTGACACTGAGATGTTTAAGTATAAAGGCATCCTTCTCTCCCTCTGTCTTTCTCTCAGGTTGGTTGCACGAGTTGGCGAAGCGCCTGGACACTCCATACTTCCTCTCGCCCCTCACCTCGCTCTTACCCGACTCACTGCAGTCCAGCTTCCTGGATGGATTTAGCGCTAACACGAGTCAGTGGAACTCCTCTGGCACTGACACAGTGGGAACGGACACCGCCGTAAACTCCAGCCAGTGGAACGGGACGGGGGTAGGGCAGGTGGGCGGAGTCAGTGTGGGACAGGTGGGCTCGGTGCTGGGGGGCGGACCCTCAGTGAGAAGCTCCTATGTCACCTCGCTGTACTTCGCTCTGAGCAGCCTGACCAGCGTGGGCTTCGGCAACGTCTCAGCGAACACGGACTCCGAGAAGATCTTCTCCATCTGCACCATGCTGATCGGAGGTGAGAACGTCGTAGTGCTGAGGTTACACATGAGCTGGGAAGTCATTTTCGGTTTACTCTCAGCCTCAGAGGCTCCGCCCACAGAGTGGAAGAAGTCAAGGTTTACGGCATTATGTCTTTACAAGTTGTTGAACAGTTTCCTTTGAGGAATTTAGCAGCCAGTAAAATATCACATATTTGGCGACAGGTACACCACTTTGTTTCGTGCTGGTCTGTTTTTGCTGTAGCACCATTTTAACACTCACTTGCCTCTAAACTTTGGGCAAAAACGACAGAATGTAGTCATGTTGCATGTCAGTCAACATGCCCCTTCCTGTCAAAGTAGGTGTGTCTTGGCCACATTGACCTGATACAATACACCAGACTCTCTGCCCATAGGCTTGTGAGATTACCTTCTATTCTGTGGGTTAGCTCTCTGTTTAAATACTGTTTTCAAACTTGCTTTCATTGACTTTTACTAGCCATTTCCTCTTGGACAAGAATTCAGTGCCATCTTTAGGACCGTTTGATAGATGACCCCCTGAGGTAGCGAGAAAAAGTTGTTTATAAGTAAGATCAATAAAAAAAAAACTTTTAAAAAACAAATTATTAATATTTCAAAGCTATAACATCCAATTTGCTAAGTTCAAACTGGGATGTGTGTGGCAAACTACCCAATCTGTCATACTTGATTTCACAGACTTAATCTACAGGTTCAGGGGTGTGCCGGGGTTTGGGAGGGTTTGCGAGGGTTCCCAGAGGTTTGCAGGTGTTCGGAAGGGTTTGGAGGGCAACAAAGAGATTCGTAGAGTTGTGCAGGTATTCACAGGGCTCACTGCTGGGACCTGTGAGTTTGAAGGGGCTCACAGAGGGTTTTGTAGGGCTTTGCTGAGGTTTGGGAGGGTTTGCAGGGGTTCATAGAGGCTTGTAGGTGTTTGCACAGGTTCAAAAAGGTTTGTGGGGGTTGTTGGATTGGGGATAGTTTTCAAGGGTTCACAGATGTTCATAGGGGTTTGCAGGGCTTCACTGGATTTGGGAAGGGTTTGTAGGGGTTCACAGAGGTTAGTAAGGATTTGCAGGGGTTTGTAGGGGTTTTCTGGGGTTTGGAACAGCTTGCAGGTGTTCACAGATGTTCGTAGGGCATTTCTGGGGCTCATAGAGGTTTCGTAGTGGTTCGTAGGGGTTCACTGGGGTTCAGGAGGGTTTGCAAGCAGGGGTTCACAGAGGTTAGTAAGGGTTCACAGGGGTTTGTAGGGGTTTTCTGGGGTTTGGAAGGGCTTGCAGGTGTTCACAGATGTTCATAGCGGTTTGCTGGAGTTCACAGAAGTTTGTAGGGGTTCACTGAGGTTCACAGAGGTTCTCAGGGGTTTGCTGCATTTGGGGAAGATTGGCAAAGGTTCACTGGGGTTTAAAGGGGTTCCTAGGAGTTTGCAGGGGTTCACAGATGTTAGCAGGGGTCTGCTAAGTTTGGGAAGGGTTTGCAGGGGTTAGATAGGGTTCACAGGGGTTTGTATGGGTTTTCTGAGGTTTGGAATGGTTTGCAGGTGTTCCCAGATGTTCATAGGGGTTTGCTGGGGTTCACAGTGGTTCGCAGGGAATCACTGGGGTTCAGGAGGGTTTGCAGGGATTCACAGAGGTTTATAGACATTTGCAGCTGTTCACAGATGTTGCTTGATATGCTGTTATACACAGAGTTGGTTACTTTACTGTGCTAACTTCACAGTAATGCTATTCTTTGCATGCTAGGGACTACATAAGTGGCCAAAAAAAAGAAACACAAGGCACAATCTGAAGCCAGACAAAACAATTAGCTGTATGATTATGTACTTCACACTGAACAGTTGGCATTACAAAGCTTATTTGCTCACTAAGTGTGGCTTAGCCAAGACTGTTCAAGACAAGGTACATATGTTTCTACTTTTTGTTATCCCTTTCTCCTCTTGTCCTGCAAGTGACCACTGGTGTGCCTTAGGTGCTGAGTCATGAGGTGAAGCTGGCGAGGGCATGTTAACATCAGTACTATAACAGAAGGAGGAAGGCAGGATCAGGTCCAGAGCAAAATCACAGAGGGTGCATTAAAAATAAATAGAGGTGAAAACAGGTTTGCATAATTTTCCCAACATTAGTGGACATCCAGTCCAGCTAACGATAGACGAGTGATTTGCATGATTTTTTGCCAGTGAGCAGGGCTTTCATCATTAATTGATATCATGTTAAAAAGCCTATAATCTATTAGTTTGATCTAAATTCACATTTTGAATGTCTGTAGTGGTCTGCCAGGAGTTTTCAGACATTATCATTGAACATGTGTTTATGAGCTTAGCTGGCTAATGTTTATAAGCCTACATAGTGAACAATCTGTATCTGGTATGAAGAAAAAAGCTATGGCGCAGAATAAAACTTGACTGTGGCACAGGGTCAGATCCTAAATCTTACGGAACTAACTCTAGAAGAGCTTTTAAAAATGACCCTTTGCCACAGTCAAGTTTTATTCCGCACCACAGCTTTTCACTTCGTATCAGATACAGGTTGTTCACTATGCGACAGTTCGTCAACACCCTAGCAACCGCCTAGCAACTAATAACCTGCACGATCACTCCGGATTTTCTTCAGGAGATGCACTATTTGAACAAATGAACCTGCTGAATGACATTAAAAGTAGTATTTCTAAGAAATTAAATGATTGTAATTTTACAGATTTTTACCATCATTAAGAAAACACGCTTTTACCTCAAAGGAAAGTATTAAATAAAGATAAAATGTAGGGTCTGGGCCCTTTAAGTTGTAGAGGATGTGCTAACTTGTTTTCATTTTGAAACAGGCATGTGAACAGGCAGGTGGGACCTGCTATAGTCATCTCAGTCGTCACAAACAAGTATAGCACTGCAGATTGTGGTGGGGGATAATGGTGGGTCAGTGTGCCATTGGCTTTAAGCTCAGGAAAAGGGCATTTGTCACTATAATCTACTTTCCTTAACACAGTAAAAAGGAACATGTTGTCAATATGAATATATGTATATGTGCAGAAAATAACCATGACCAAATCAGGTCTGCAGCCGTGGGACACTGTGTGACGTACTGTTCTTGAGTGATAAGATCCAGATGACTTGCTGACTCATAGTTAGAGGCGGTGACCCAGACCTGAGCTGTTTGTTTGCTCTCTGTGGCTGGAACATGGCAACCCATCAATTTGCTGTTAGCCAATTAAAGGGCCCATGTCTTGCATTTTCTTTATGTTTCATTTTTTCCCCATGAGGGCTGCTTTTAATACTGTGACTTTAATATATATGACTGACATACGTAAATCACCTCTGCTATGATTGGCTGCCCTGCAGTGCTCCTTATAGCTTCAACATGAATGGGCAGGGCTAAACTACCATAGGCTGCATAAGTTGATTAACATAAATGTGTTACTTTTTGTGACATCACAAAAACAACAGATTCAAAAAGAGGGTGTTTTTGCAGCTGTGTTTCCATTTATGGACTGTATGGACTGAAACAATACTAAGCTGCAAAAACAGCCCATCATGAATGCACTGTTTTTGTGATGTCACTCCTTAGTCCCTGCAGTCTATATATGGTAACTAAGGTACAAAAACAGCCCATCTTGAATGTTTTGTTTTTGTGATGTCACAAAAAAATAAACACCTCTCCATACATCTGCCTGCTCATTCACACTGAAGTTATAAGAAGTGTTTCGGCCTGATCTGCTTTTTGAGGTGTAAAACACGGCGGCCAATCAAAACAGAGCTCATTCACATATATCAGTCTTAAAAATGCAGTAACAAAAATAGAGGCTAGGTAGAGTTTGGAAAATGGTCAAGTAAAAGTGAACTGTGCATGTTTTTGGTAAAGAAAACTGCACAAACTGCACAAAGTGGGCCTCGGGAGAAAAATAAAATGCATGTAAAATGTAGGATATGGGCCCTTTAATAGTGTTTAAATACTACATAATGCAATACTTATGCATTAAAAAAGTAAGGACAATGTTTTTAATGATAGGAGTCCTTTAAAGGTTAGCAGTACATACACTGATCAGGCATAACATAATGACCATCTCCTTGTTTCTACGCTCATTGTCCATTTTATCAGCTCCCCTTACTATATAGGAGCACTTTGTAGTTCTACAGTTACAGACTGTAGTCCATCTGTTTCTCTGCATACTTTGTTAGCCCCCTTTTACCCTGTTCTTCAGTGGTCAGGACCCCCATGGACCCTCACAGAGCAGGTACTATTTGGGTGGTGGATCATTCTCAGCACTGCAGTAACACTGACGTGGTGGTGGTGTGTTAGTGTGTGTAGTGCTGGTGCAAGTGGATCAGACACAGCAGTGCTGCTGGAGTTTGTCCACTCACTGTCCACTCTATTAGACACTCCTACCTTGTCGGTCCACCTTGTAGATGTAAAGTCAGAGACGATAGCTCATCTGCTGCTGCGCAGTTTGTGTTGGTCATCCTCTAGTCCTTCATCAGTGGTCACAGGACGCTGTTGGCTGGATGTTTTTGGTTGGTGGACTATTCTCAGTCCAGCAGTGACACTGAGGTGTTTAAAAACTCCAACAGCACTGCTGTGTCTGATCCACTCAGACCAGCACAACACACACTAACACACCACCACCACGTCAGTGTTACTGCAGTGCTGAGAATGATCCACCACCCAAATAGCACCTGCTCTGTGAGGGTCCAAGGGGGTCCTGACCACTGAAGAACAGGGTAAAAGGGGGCTAACAAAGTATGCAGAGAAACAGATGGACTACAGTCTGTAACTGTAGAACTACAAAGTGCACCTATATAGTAAGTGGAGCTGATAAAATGGACAATGAGCATAGAAACAAGGAGGTGGTCATAATGGTATGCCTGATTGGTGTACGTTTCTCATCTAAAAATGAGGAAAGTGTTCCATGATATGGGCCCTTTCATGGTCATTTAGCAGAATGAAACACTGCTCACTTTGTGCAATGAAATCAAAGCAATGCCTCTCAATCTTTCTCTCTCTCCCTCTCTCTCTCTCCACCGGCCTGT